TATAACATATAAAGAGAATATGTATAAGATGTTTTATAGATGGTATGTTACACCTGATAGACTGGCTAAGCAAAATATTAACTGTTCTGATCAATGCTGGAAATGTAAGAGTAAAAGGGGTACATTTTACCATATGTGGTGGCTATGCGATGTTACTAAAAAGTTTTGGAAATGGGTCCATAGTTTGATGGAGAAGATACTAAGAGCAAGGATTCCATTTACTCCAGAGGTCTTGCTGGTGAATATATTTCCAAAGGATTATGAAAAAGAGAATAGGTATTTGACTGTTTATATGACGACAGCTGCAAGAATCTTATATGCCAAATATTGGAAAACCATGGTGATACCAACGAAACAGGAGTTTGTGAATAAACTTTTTGAAACAGCAGAAAATGATAAACTGACTCTAGAAATGAGATTAAGTAAAGAGTGGACATTTCAAAAAACATGGAAAAAGTTTTATGATTGGTATAATGCAAATGCAATAGAAGACTAGGCAAGGATAGTGCAATGGACTTGAGAACACAGAAGATAGAAGAATGGAAAGTATTTGATATTGAGTTTTTATTAATTAAGTAATTGCATATAAGCATATAATGTCACTGTAGTCTTGGTATATATGTTATGTGTAGTAGAGTGTCTGTAGTGTGTAGATTTGTTTGTTGTAGATTAAAAAAATTAATAAAAGTGTACCTATGGGTACTTAAGAAAAAAGAATTAGGGTCGCCAGGTTTGATCATCACGCCCGTGGGGGAAAGGGAGGAACTTTCTGGGAGTGGGGAGAAACATCGCAACATGCATATATAAACAGGAAGGGATGAAGGGATGTCAGGGATGTTGGGGGGGGCGACGCTCTGGCTTTTGGGCAAAACTCTATGGTAGAATTTGCTTCAAGTCATAGAGTTTTGCCCAAAAACCAAAACGTCCCCCCCCCAACATCCCCAATGTGCCTACGCCACTTCCGTTTTCGTAGGCATGTCACAATGATTTCCAGGTTCCTGCCAGTAAGAGGGGTCATTGGGGGGAAGCGCCTGAAAGGAGACCCGCGCCCGCACCGGGCAGTCTGGCAAACCTCGTCAGAATTCCAAATGTGCCCCCAGGCTCAAAAAGTTTGAGGACCCCTGTCCAAACAGATTTTGATCACAGGGCAGAAATGGTCCCAGCCGAGGCACGGCCACATCCCTATTCCTGCCTCAGCTGTGGGCTGTTACCTTCCGTGGCAGACAGCCGTGGTACCAGGCGTGGCTGCGCAGATGGTCGGTACTGAGCTTCAACTCCGCCTCCAGCTCCTTCCGCAGTTTCTCACTGGCCAGTTCCATGTTCCCGGGGATCACGTCTCCTGGGGAAAACCAAGAGACTCAAAGTCAGAGGCAGCGCTGTAATGCAGAGAGGTCTCTTTGGATACCCTGGCAAACACAACAAAGCAGCACAGACTCCCACAAATGTCAGGACTGGGCCTTCCTAGCACGCCTGGCTTTGCGTGGGTTGAAGAAAGCCAAACGTGGCGAAGAGAAAGTATTGACTAGGAGCACAGGAGTAACTGTATGCAACATCCAGTTTCTCTGCTGCACAAGAAAGTATTCGCTTCTATTTCTTTGCACATTATTCGTTTCTCATGAAATATTTCCAGGTATTTCTTTCTTGGTTTTGTGCTGGATTTGAGTGAAATTTCAAAGTTCGTACCTGTTACGGCTCAGGTGGGGGTATCACCTGACACTGACACCACTCTGGATTTAGGATCCCTCGAGAAGGCCCAGACTCTAGAGATGTGAAGGCCCGGTAAAAAAAGGCAAAATTAAGAAAAAAAAATGTTTTTTTGTTTTTTTCCGAAAAATTGGAAAAATTGAAAAAAGAAAAGAAAAGAAAAAAACTGATTATGGAACGTTTTATTTTAACATGATGAATAAAATATTTTAAGACAAGGTGTTCAAATATTTTCCAAATCATTTCTAAAATATATATATATGGTATCAGATTGATCTAATTTCTGTGCACTGAGGACAAGCAAGTCCTAGGTTACAAACTGAACTCTCCAATGCAAGAACAAGATGCATTTCTTCCTTTAGGAGGTGCGATTGTCAGAAGAAAATTAAAAAGTTTCAGTTTTGTTTTTGCATGTGGGTGGGTATTCTGTTTGTAATAATTGTTTGGACACACTATATTTTTAATATGCTAGTTGTGATAATTTCATGCCAAGTAAAAATGTCCATAGTCATATTTTATGTTCCTAAAGTAACAGAATGACTTTCAATCTAGAAAAGACAAAAGAAATGCTAATGTAGCATTTTTTCAATTTTTCCAAAAATTTCTATTTTCCCCCGAAAAAAACTGGGGAAAAAAACGGGTTTTTTTCCGAGACCCTAACGTGTCTAAATATATACTGTCCCTAGCTCACTATCTCAAGTGGCACCAGACTACTCACCCTTCCCTCAGCATGAGGGTCTCTCCCCTGCAGCAGCCTTCCTTCTGGCTCTGCCCTCTGGGAAGAAGAACAGCTTTTCCTGCTGCCCCAGATCTTTTATTCCAAGCCCTCCTCTTTTCCTATTGGTCAACTTTGGCTCCAAAACCTCTCAGGGGCTTCTGGGAGTTGTAGGCCCCGCCTCACCTACTGCTAGGCAGGCTCCCTGAGCCTATTAGGCCTCTGGTGGCACAGCCCAGATCATGACAGTACCGGAACAAAGTTTGAGTCCAGTGGCACCTTTAAGACCAACAAAGTTTTATTCTGGGTATAAGCTTTTCATATACCTCTTATCCAAGAAACCCTCCCTATCAACTTTCACGCAAACAGAAGAAAGCTTCTCAATTTTTAAAAAAAACATGGAGGACCCTGAAAATCCCAACGCTTGACGAGTTGATAACGAAGATTATGGAATGTGCCGAAATGGACAGATTAACAAATATACTAAGAGGAAAAATGGAAGAAGACTTTATGGGACCATGGATGGGTGTTCTATGACTGGTTAAAGCATAAGTAAAGGTAAAGGTTCCCTTGCTTGAAAGCCAGTCGAATCTGACTCTAGGGTTGCGGTGCTCATCTCCATTTCAAAGCCGAAGAGCCAGCGCTGTCTGAAGACGTTTCCGTGGTCATGTGGCCGGCATGACTAAACACCAAGGCGCACGGAACGCTGTCACCTTCCCACCGAAGTGGTCCCTATTTATCTACTTGCAATTCCTTGCTTTCGAACTGCTAGGTTGGCAGGAGCTGGAACTAGAGATGGGAGCTCACTCCATCATGCGGCCCCTGGGTCTCGAACCGCTGAACTACTGACCTTCCACAGCCTGCAGTTCAGTGTCTTAACCACTTGAGCCACCGCAGCTCCAAAGCATAATTACTGAGAAACTAAGACTAAATGAACAACAATAAGAAAGACAGGTATAATAGTTGTGAAACTTTTAGGAGAAGATTTGCATGCGGAATGTCAGATTGGCTTTTTTAATATATAGAACTCTGTATTCTTTCTTTTCCCCTCTTTTCCCTTTCCCCCTTTCTATATATAAACTAATAAAACTTCATAAAAAAAGAATATTTTTAAACATAGTTTATTGAGGCACTGGAACCATCTTACAAGGAGGTTTTGTGTGCTGCATCACAGGATGACCAATCCCACAACAAAACACATAAATAAATAAATAAATAAATAAATAAGAACATAAGAGATGCCAGTGTTGGATCAGGCCAAAGGCCCATCCAGTCCAACACTCTGTGTCACACAGTGGCCAGAAATACCAGTGCCATCAGGAGGTCCAGCAGTGGGGCCAGGACATTAGAAGCCCTCCCACTGTTGACCCCCCCCCCAAGCACCAAGAAGACAGAGCATCACTTGCCCCAGAGCCCCTAGCTATACCTTGTGGCTAATAGCCACTGATGGACCTCTGCTCCATATGCTTATCTAATTCCCTTTTGAAGCTGTCCATGCTTGTAGCACCCACCACTTCCTGTGGCAGTGAATTCCATGTGTTAATCACTCTTTGGGTGAAGAAGTACTTCCTTTTATCCGTTCTAACCTGACCGCTCTGCAGTTTCATGGAGTGCCCACGAGTTCTTGTATTGTGAGAAAGGGAGAAAAGTACCTCTTTCTTTACCTGCTCTTTCCCATGCATAATCTTATAAACCTCGATCATGTCACCCCTCAGTCGTCTTTTCTCCAAGCTAAAGAGCCCTAAGCGCTTTAACCTTTCCTCATAGGGAAAGTGTTCCAACCCTTTTATCATTCGAGTTGCCCTTTTCTGCACTTTTTCCAAAGCTATAATATCCTTTTTGAGGTGTGGTGACCAGAATTGCATACAGTATTCCAAATGAGGTCATACCATTGATTTATATAGGGGCATTATGATATTGGCTGATCTGTTTTCAATACCCTTCCTAATAATCCCCAGCATAGCATTGGCCTTCTTTATTGCAGTCACACACTGTCTCGACATTTTCAGGGAGTTATCTACT